CCCCTCTCTCACTCGTCTCTCCCCCCTCATCGCTCCTCTTCCTCTCTCTCCACTCTGTCTCTCCCTCTCTCTCACTCTCTCTTCTTTCTCTCTCTCTCGTCTCTTCTCTTTCTCTCTCTTCTCTCTCCTCTCTCTCTTCTCTCTCTCTCTCTCTCTCTCTCTCTCTCCGCGGGGCTATGTTGGCAAGCTTTTCCTCTACGAGATGACCCGCACGCTGATCTATGCTGTCATATGACCGAGTGATCACTATCCGGCAGATAAATAATTGCGTGCGCGCACGCTCATATTGTCCGCATTGCGCACAGAGCTTACGCTCTGCTAGGGGAACAGTGAAAGATGATGAGCGTTTATTTCTCCGGCACATAGGTACTGGGTTGAGATGTGGTTGCTTACAAACAATTTCTTTTAAATAAAATTCTGGACTTTGGCTTGCTCCAAACAGAGTAAACCATGACCCTCGTAATCATCGTACAATTGGTATTTTATGCGTTGTGCATGCCATATCCTGGCTATCAAGACTCAGCAACCTTTTCTAATTTAAAATCAACGTCTTTACTATTTAATGTGCCTATTAATGTGCATCTCATGCAAATAGAGATCGTGTACGTCTCTCTTTCCTTTCCTGGACGCTAGGAAAATCTTCTGACAGGAAAGTTCTCCACTCCTCTAACTGCAGGTGCTTAGTCGGCCCATGGGTGCCGTGAGCCGTCCACCTCAGTGCGCGATAACTCTTACTGACGCCTCCCCGCTCGCTATTTCAGATACCCGGGGAGTGCACCCCGGCGCAGCAGTGCTCAGTGACCACCGTACTCGACCAGAGGGTCACCGTGCAGACCAGCGACACGGTCACGGTGCGGTTCGAGGTGTCGGCTAGAGGCGGCGCCCCTCCGGCGGCCGCCTCACTGGCGCTGCGCCGCGCCGACCCCGGAACTACAGATTGCCCGATCGACCACGGCGCGTCGCCACCGGCGCTGCTGGTCTCGGCCAATCAGAGGCGGCGACTGGACAGTGACCTGTTGCGTCCCGGAGTCAACACGTTCTTAGGTATGTTGGATAGAGAGTATGGATATTGTTTGTCACAGATTGGTGAGAAAAGGTTCTATCATAGCTCTGACGAGACAGGGATAAAGTAGGTATAGATAGGTGCTCACCGAATCAGTGATAACATTGCATTTTTTAGTGCACATTCCGCATAAGCAAAATAAGTGCGGCAGCACCGTCATGGAATACCTTCTGCTGCATCAGAACGCCCAAATGCTTCCACCCAAGGCATAGCTCGTATTTATCTTTGACCATCTTATCCCATTTCCAACGCGTTCACTTCCGTGACCCTGTCGATTTCTAGTCCCACGCCCTCTCCTGACCTTTTGCTGCCTTTGCTGCGCCGACCAAACTAGCCCATTCCCCAGCTGCTGGCCTCTCTCTCTCTCTCTCTCTCTCTCTCTCTCTCTCTCTCTCTCTCTCTCTCTCTCTCTCTCTCTCTCTCTCTCTCTCTCTCCCTCCCCCCTCTCTCTCTCTCTCTCATTACCGACCGCCACCGCCCTGGGCCTGAATGTCGTCCTCAGTGGAGTAATCGGGTTATGATGTATTTAAATTGGACCGTGATGTCGTGCCGCCCCCTATTTCGACTCTCGACGCGTCTGTTAGGAACTGCAAATCAGACCGCGCTGTGTTCCGACCACTTGCTATGCCTTCGGGCTGTTTGTTCGCTTAATTCGACCGCAGGCTGTGGGTCTGACGTCGCGAGCTCAGTCGGGCCCAAAGTGGGTTCTTGGTGTGCGTTTGAGTGATGTAGCGCGCCGCTGCCCGCAAACTGATGTCGGCTGGTGTGAAGCTGGGGCAATGGGTGATCTTCTGCATGGAAGTCACCCTGCGAGCCCAGCGGACGATGGCTATTCGCCGAGTTAAATTGGGTTGCATGCTAGATATCCCGCGCGGGGCTGGGGTCTCCAGCCGAACGCGCGGGGCTGGGGGGTAAATTTTACCCCCCCCCCCTGTTATCTCCCGAACTAATGGTCCGATTTGGAAAATTCAAACGCCAATCGAAAGCTCTCATCACGAACTACTAACAACATGTACTTAATTTAAAGTTTGAGGTCAAGGTCAAGGCCAGGTCAAGGGTACAAATTGCAAGTTTCTACAGTATCGGCCTTGCACCGTAGTTGCCGAAGAATGGAGTCATGGACTGAGACTGATCGCCCAAAACGTGTTCTTAGGCTACCAAGACAATATTCGTTGCATACAATATCATTCAGAGGTCAAGGTCAAGGTCAGGTCAGGTCAGGTCAGGTCACCAAAAACAAAATATAGAAAAGGGCATGTGCGACACATGTTTTATGGGTCATTTTACTCATAGAATTCAATAGGCACACTCAATAAGTGATATGGACCACCTCTGGATGAATTTCAGGTCGAGGTCAGGTCAAGGTCAGGTCAAGTGAGGTCAAATTTTGAAGTTGGTTGTTAAGGCCTAAAAAGGTGTCTATCTGATGCAGTTGTTCACGGCGAATCGAATGGTGCTATTTTTGTTGCCGTACGAGGTCTAGAACTTCCAAAAAAGTCATTTTTCAAAAATTTTGTGTGTCGTGACGTCATAAAATTTTGAATAACTCCCCCATTTTTGAACCGATTCTTCTAAAATTTGGTATGTAGGTGCACATAGACCACTTCTCTGACATATATTCCGGTTTTTTTTGATAGACTCAAAATTTTGGATTTTATAATGATTTTCCCAAAAAAGTCAGTTTTTTGAAAAAAATTTAGGCCAAAATCCAAAATTTTCAAAAAAACGAGATAGCCATTTGATAGACAAAGTAAAATTACGTATAACCTTTTTTGTTACGTCTTGATTCCTTTAAAAATGAATATGTTAGCGGCGTTTGAACTTTTGCCGTTTTTGAGGCGAAAATGGCGAACATGACGTCACTAAAACGTCAATTTCTCAAAAATTTTCAAAAGGATTTCGCTCAAATTTTCAGGGAACGTGTCAAATTGATGTAAGAAAAGGTACTGAAAGTTTGGCGGCGCTGCGCGCCGCCGTTTTTGAGATATCGCAAAAATTCGCGAGGGGAGGTAAAATTTACCCCCCCAGCCCCGCGCGGGATATTTGACGGGCTATTGATGGAAGTTTTAATTGGGAAAATCGGCTCCGAAATTTCGGATGTACAGGAAATGGTATACCCCAAACGACGGAAATAGCAGGAAAAAGGCTCTACGAAGAGTGAGCTAAAAACGGATACAGAACTTTAAAACTGAAGACGACAACATTCAACCCTAATCCCATATTTCAGCGGTAGCGCAAATGCCATTACTTGGGATGGGGCTTTTGCTCTCTGCCGCCAGTCCTAAATAGCCGCGCAATATCGCTAAGAGGATATACGTCGTCTGCAAATGCACTTTTCAGACTGTTTTAGCAGATGTACATGCTAACACCGAATGCCCGGGTCAATGAGGCTGGTTTCTAGCTGCGCCTGTCTGAACACGATGGGAAATGCTTTTCACTTTCTCGTCTTTCAAATATGAATCTATTTTTGTCTAATGACGTTATTATGGAATTAAAAATGAATGTGATGACCGAAAAATGAAAAAGCATCACAAAGAAGGCGTGATTGAATTAATTCCGATAGCATTGCTGATATCAATCAGGTCAATAAAATCAAAGGCAGTAGGTATAGAGCTTAGCATCGGAAGTTTTTCATCATCCCATTAGTTTATTTCAAAGCCATCGTCCCCACCAGCATCTTTTCCATACATGAGCATTGATCAGCGAATGATAAGCTGAGCGCATCACTTGTGGTACAAAAAACTCGCAAATTGCCTTCGGACTAAACAATGTCATGGCTCGCTGGGCTTCCTTTGTTACCACGGTTCAGTCTCTGCTCTCGATAAATGCCTACAGATGCACTGCAACCTACCAACAAATGCACTTTGAGCTTCACTTGACGACGGTTTAGCAAGCAGCTGGTCCACTGGGTGGATCGTTCATCTGTGTATGTCCACTGTCCAGACACCTAGCGCTCGTCACCGGTCTGACGCACAGTCCCTTCGACCTGCGCGAGCTCGTGTGGGCGCCTGAGACTGGAATTGCCGTGACCGCGCAGTGGCCATATTGCGTGTCAATCGACAACCTCAGATCATATGCAACGGGGCAGCTCGGGCCGACAGCCGACTGCAGCCGGGGCGGGGGCGGGGGCGGCCGGCGCCGCCGAGACGCCGCCGCCGCCGGCTGGGATCAGCGGCGGCGCCACGCCCCCGCCCCCGCCGCCGGCTGCGGACGGGGCGCCGACCGCTGGTCCGCCGCTGTCATTTGTCCTGCTTCCGGCGCTTCTCACTGGAAGGATGGGGCATTGGCTGATAGCTCCGGATTGAACCGGACCCATGCAGAGACGGGCTAGGTCAAAGTCCGACGTAAGATACGTTGTGATATTTTATTTTTTCGTAGTCGTATTTTCAAGAGTTCAGGTAACAAGCAAGCGCCATTTCGCGCATTCGCGGATATGCAATTACCCGTAAAGGCCACGGTTAGCATACCCAGCAAAGTTAATTCGCCAACTCTTATATCTTATTATAAACACAGAGATCGAATCGTAAGGTTGCCAACCTAAAAAGTTAGTAGACCTGTCAGCATTTTTCTGTCCCGTTCTTATATTGTCGTTCCATTTCAATTCAATCATGCTCCACTATCAGGCAGGCTTCACTCCGCTCTCGTCAATATTCCCCGCAGATACGATCGTCCTGAACTTCACCCCAATGGCGCTATCATGCACAGGCGGGGCATCGGCCGGCGCACCCAAAATGAGAATCTTAGCAGAGACTTCAGCGACGTCCCGGCCCCACACTCGTCCGAGCCGGCAGCCAACAACAGTCACCCATTGCGTGAATCGACCTAATGAAGTCAGATCTGTCAAAATGCATTTATAAGCCGCTTGAATCGATCAATTGCCGTAGCTACGATCCGCTAAATGTGTCTGAAAAGGATGCTGATAGACAAGAAATACTGGGAATGGAGGTAACTCATCATATTCGAGCTTTCACTTTTACCAGCACGTCGAAGATGCGTTGGGCTTCTATTTTGGCCGACTGGTGATGAGGGAGTCGAGTGAACGGTCTCGGTGCATTCAGTCCGGTGGAATTGAAAGCCGTTCCCCGAATGGGGTTTCGACGTACCCACAAGAACTCTTATTTTCGAACGAAATGCGTTTTCTCCTGTCGTCTATTCATCTGGGAAATTTGTGGTACTTGGATGCATATGTATCGTTGGAGATAGCATGTTTTGATGAAAGAAGTTCAATACGGTTGGGTCTAATTGGCTACCAGCGCGCGGGCAATGACTCAAATGGCTTCTCCAAAATGGCGATAGCATTGAAGACATGAAACATGCGATGCCATTACTACATGCAGACTAGGAATGTTCAGACATGTACATACATGTGATTCTTGAGGAACGGAAATTTGTCGAAGCGCCTTGAATTTAAAATGTTCATGAGATAGATAATCAAGCCAGGATATTTGACAAATTAAATCAAAATTAATCTTTATGCACCAGACATTCTAACTCTATATCCACGAATCACTCATCCGATTCACTTTATTCAAAAACGTGAACAATTGGATAGCAATGCACGCAACCAGCTGAAATAGGTAAGTACAACCGTGGTCATGCTATTTACACTTCTGACGATTCTCCGCCAGGTCGGATCAGCCTGGCCTCAGAGGAGTGCTTTCGATTGGTGGTGACGGTTCGAGCTGCCGACTGCGGAGACCAGCAGCTCTGCGGAGGCAGGGGCTACTGCGTGGCTCGACCTGACCAGGTAAACACAGAAGTTACCTGTACAGGAAAACAATGCAGGTGACTCGAACAGGTGCTAATATATATATCAAGAGTTTGGCTGTGACTATAAATAGTTTTACTAATTGGCTTGTTGGAATGAGCATTGTTTTTGCCTGTCCCCGCATGACGTTGGTGAGTGCAATGATTCGTCTTTTGGCAGGAAACATTTACATGCTCCTGCTGTTCCGAATGGTCCGGTCCCTACTGTAGGGTCAGTGACCCCTGCTCAAGGCGACCTTGCGCGGAAGGAGCTACGTGCGTCTCAGACGGCAGCGACTACAAGTGCTTCTGCGCTGAAGGTAAACATATTAAAATAGTTTGGCTTCAGGTCGGCGTCAGGCGTCACACACTGGTCCATAGTCAGCACTTTGTCTTATGCTCGCATTGTTCGGAAAAGGGAGGCGCAAAAAGGCGTTTTCAAGTTTGGTGAACCGAGTAGGTCTATTTGACGTCATACAGTGTGATGGGCTGAGTGCCCGCGGCATCACTCTCCTCTGAATTTATTTCGTCTAATCTTTGGTTTTTGTTTTAGCCTTTGTGTGTATCATAGTTCGTCGCAACCCCGCGAAACCTTTCGTGAAGAGCCTTCCACCGTCCATGATCTGTAGAATTGCACCATTTTGATGAAAAGCAAAGTTTCAACAAACAAAAAAGTTCATTAGAAGACAATTTTTGCCCATTCTTCCTGCTTCAACAACCGAAGTTTTTAGACGCCGGTTCAAGGACCTAATGCATCTGTTTACATTTTTAGATATTGTAGGTAAAAAAAAAGCGGAGCAAATCATGAGGCAAGTTACAGTTCAATATTGAACCCTGATGTTTGATCTGATAACTATTCTAACAGATGAAATGGAGAGGCAGTATTTAATTTTTCTTTGCTATATTGGTCTCATATGCTACGTAAGAATAGTAAAAATATCTGAATATATGCCTAAGGTGGATAAACAAGCAATGCGTCTTCTTTGTTTTCCTTGAAGGCCAATACGCAGCAATTTCTAAACGTTTTTAGATGCTCCCTCTTCCGGCTGAGGGTCCCATTATCAAACTTTTGCTGACGATATAAAACTTTGAACAAGTTCACAATTCGCAGCGTCATTATAACCGACCTTAGCTTAAAACACTGCAAAACAAGGGGTTTCGCTGAAAGTTGGACGCAATTCCTGCCATAAACAATAGCTGAACATTATTCAGCCACTGCTTACAATATTGATATATAGAAATCAATATGCCATAGATATACAAAAAAAAGAAGGGAAAAAACAGTCAGCCGTAAGCATAAATCTTCAGGCTGAAAAGTCTTCATATAAAAAATGTGAGATGAGCCTTACATAAATATCCGATTCGTATGCTTGTAAATTCTGATTTTTGTAACTTATGAGCTCCGAGCGGCACTCTCGTACTGCCGATGATGTGATCTCATCGCAACGGGTGCACGTAGACTTTATAACGAAGGTTGAAACGTTTAACCGTGTATAAATCCTTGTCCTGCAAAGCTGTCTTGGCATCCGAGAGAGATGATTAAAGTTCAATTCCTTTTTAGTTCACGTGTCCTGCATTTTCCCGCAAATGACTTGTTATGAACAATAAACTGCACGCAAGTCACAAAAGCCACAAGTTCCCCTAATTACCAAGTCGCATACCGCTGTATGACTGCGCGACAACTTACAAACTTCATGAAATCTTCATATGCGCTAAATTTCCCTACTGTAGACTGGCATCATCTGAGTCCTACCGTATGCTAACTAACACTTCTGACCCAGTCAGTCCGATTAGGACCGTTTATCAGACTTTGTGTCACCGTTCTGTAAAGTTTTACACGGGGCATGTTGAAGCGCGAGGAGGTCGTCGAGTGTGCTATTGACCGACCGACCGACTGTGCTGGGCCTGCCAGAGAGGCAGTGCCCGTCTTCAGCGACCTGGAGCACAGAGAGACCACATGCTCGTATATCGCGGATGTAATCCCTGACCGACCGTCACGGCACATAATGCATAACTAATCTGCCTCTGTCGGCCGAGGACGAAACCGGGACGGCGGGAATCCGCGGATTATCGTGGATACAAACCTCTCTTCTTCCTTAGGCGTCGTCCGGGCTCCACTTTGCCATAGCTTTAAGAACACCCTTAGAGGACGGTGACGGTGTGGCGATCTTTCATTTTGATCTTTCAAAAGGAACATTCTGTTCGTAAAAGTTTGAAACTAGTTTTTCTAACCTCTTTTTGTTTACTTATAATTTTGCTCTGATCATTATGATTTGCTAACAGCTGAAGATGAAATTTGAAAGAGGTGTCATGTTTAGTGCAAATTTGTATTAAAGCCTGTATCTCAGAGCCATATATCACCCAAAGGCGATGATAACTTGAAGCTTATTCTGCGAGCTCTTGAGACCAACTACCCGAAAAAGAAATGTTGAGAATAGTAGACAAACAATTACATGCAATGTGTTCTCGTGCCCAGAAACTGTATTTGTTCACCGTTCACTGACGTAATCTGGTCGGTATATCGCAATCACTGCTCACGATAGACGGCCGCTCGCCGTCAGCAAAGGTTGAGCGTCACAGCGCTGGCAGCTGCAGGAGCTCCATCGTTTGAGTCAACGATCCAGTTCTCATACTGTAGATCGATGATGCAATGTTTTGAAACTTAGACAGTGAAAGTAGTTGCAATAGTCGCTATGCAGACTGATTCTATGATACAATGTTGATCGATGATATGATATAGTAGGAGTAATGGCTATTACATGTCGTTTTGACTATTGGAACAAGTCTAAAGTTGAAGCGAACTTTTAGCTTATATAGTTTTCATTTTAAGAATATAGTGGCATCTGCGTTGTCAGGATATTTGATAGCGATAATTCATCTCCCGCTTCCAATGAAATCGTTTTATTAAATTTTATTTAGCCTTGGCATTTACGAATTACGATGTCTCAAGACTGAGGATAGAAGCAGTTTGACGTACTGTGTCTGAAATGTCATGCAGTTCATGCACTGCTCTGATGAATTATTCTCCCTATCATTCCATGATCCCGCTTCTATTTCATTTCATCTCCGAAGCCGACCCCATTTCCTACGCCAGCGGTTGGACCTTTCGAAGTGCATCTCCCAGAATGCTGCCCTTCCGTGCGTCAGCGCTGCGCAGCCATTTGTTTCCAATTGCGGTCCAATGCTCCTCTCAGCCCAATAGGCGTTATCGGCAAAACGCCTCTGCTGGCCCGCACTAGTCGGCTGATAAATCTGCCAAAGTGACGCGCTAGCGTAGCTCATCGACATTTATGGCGCAAAGTTACGAGGCGACAGGTTTTCGTCCTAGATGGATGGTCATGTAAATGGCCCATTATCAGCGAATTTCGCAGCTTTGTCTTCAGTCGAATCTGACACTGATATTTTTAATGTGGGTGAAAATTGTCCATCTGCAAAAAAGAAAAAGCAGTTACAGCGATTCTTGTGTGCTGTTGATAACAGACTTACTTTCATGGACCTCCTATACCGCCACTCTAATTGTAAAGTGAGCGGGTCCTGAGGCATTTCTGAACAGAATCACCATTAAATGATCATGAAACATAAACTGTTGAATGTTTTGTCGCACTAAATACTTCCCACTTATCGAACATCTTGGAAAGTGCGACCTCAACATAGGAGTATTATACGGTGCCTGCATTCTCTGAGCGCATTTCTGCCTATTTCTATTTATATTCCATTTAGGCGTGAGTATGCCACTATTTTGTCCCGTCATTTTTACGGCACTTTCATCTCTTAGGGACTTCCCCAGCAAACACCAATACCCGGTACCCACAGGCACCACGGGCTCCAACTGCTCACGTCCGTCGGACTCGTGCGGCACGTGCCTGAACGGCGGTACGTGCGCGCCGGACGGTGGTGTCACGTGTCTCTGTCCGCGCGGATACTCGGGAGACGGCTGCGAGGAGACGGCCGCGGCGGGGGAGACGACCCCGTGCGACCCGTCGCCCTGTCTCCGAGGGGAGTGTCAAGTGGAGGGAGACGCTGCCGTCTGCGTCTGCCCGTCAGGTGAGACCGGATCTGAACGGAACTGAACGGAACTGAGCGAAACTGAGCGAAACTGAACGGAAATGAACGGTGCTGAACGGAACTGATCTGAACGGAACTGAAAGGACCTGAGGGAAACTGAATGGAATGGGGGTGTGGCGTGCCGCCAGACCACCTCAGAATTGGGTTCGGTTGGGGATATTTTGGGGATATGGAATGCAGGATGCATTTTTATTAATTAAAATGACTGTACTGTGATTAAATACTTAACTCGGCTTGCAGGCATTGTTTAAATTTTTCAATTTATTATGATGCTTGTTCATGTTCATGTTTCATTGCTCATGTTCATGTTCTTTTAGTCAATTATATGCATAACATATAACACATAACACATTTCATAACGTTAGTATAACACATTTCAAAGAAACAATTGGTGATTTGGTACTTTTATTTTTATATAATATGTCATGATTCTTGGTTCAATATTTTCATTTCAATATCAGCTAGGTATCTAGGCGATCGTGATATCGTTCCACTTTCGTGATGGGGCGATCTTGCATGAGCCCATTGTGCTGCATAAGCCCACTCCAAGACTGAATCCTGTCATATAATAGCCGAATCCTCGAGATGAGCCCAGCGAGGGACTGGAGGCCCCAAACTTTTATCATTACTGGACATAGCCTTTAAGCTGTACCACGCAAAATCGATCAAACATGTTTGCTTGTTTGCTCACATCTAATGTTGTGCGGCTTTGGCTTATAGGGCGAGGTATTATAATGAGCACTTGGAAAGAAAGAAAAAAGTTTTTGAACCTGCTCGCTCAGGCGGATGGTCTATCTAGCTTCATTATCATTGAGGTCGATTTGAATCAAGTGGCGTCTTTAATCATGCCTGGTGACGCAGACCTAATAAAGCAGGCCAAAATACCGTTTCCATTATTGGTTACATCTTTTATGGGCCACTCTTAGGTAGGTTGCAAAAATCTAATTGAGACCGGCAATGTTGCGGTCACGAACGAACTGACGCGTGCTCTTTGGGTTATAGAGGAGCTCTGCTCCATTTCGGTCCTCTGATGCACTCAGCCAGGGCTACGGCCTCCGATCACCGGCTGTCATTTGCCTGCGGTGGGCCGTCGCGCCGGCACGTGCCTGGCTGTCGTTCGACGTTCCGGGGGTGGGGGGTGGGGAGGTCGGTGGAGGGGATTACAGAGGAGGCTATAGGCTGTTCCAAGCTCAGCTCTCTGATCCGTTCGACCGATCACGTCACAGCTTCGACAGCCACGCGACGTCGACGTCCGGTGACGTCTCTCAGACTGTCGCTGGTGCCACATCACTCCGCCCCAGCTGTCACATCAGTTCACCCCGCTGTCACATCAGTTGACAGCCCGCTTTCACATCAGTTGACAGCCGGTCCAGAGTTCCGCGAGACGGCGCGGCGAAATCAAGGCGCCCTGACACACGGAGAGCCAATTGTTTTACGGATTTCAGGCGAGCTGTCCTTGGCAGTTCGATACCAGATGCAGAACAGCGACAGTCAATGGCTGCAGCAGCCCACTGCCATTTGCATGTGGAGCCTTCCATACATATAACCTGGATGGCAGAAAGACCGTGGTTCTGTTTATGTTCCTTATTTGTGTTATTAATGTAATAAATTTATGAACATTTGTTTCCTAGCTTGATTTGAGGCTGCAGTTATTAGTATTGTCTCAGGTGAGGCATCGGTCTTAAATGTGTCATTAAATCATGCCTCAGGGTATGATAAAAGGTTTCGCAAACAGCTCAGAAATGGCGGTGTTGAAATCTAATAAACATCACACATGTCCTTTGTCCACTTGTGGTGGAGGCTACCTATCATGATTCAGGTTAACCATGAACTGTGAGATGTTTTGTTCAAAGAAAGCCAGCACATATTGGTATTCCGATATTATATTACGAAATTCATATCAGCAACTAGCAAGGTTCTGATCGATCAGAGCGCGGTGGTATTGTAAAAAAAAAAAAAAAAAACGCTGCGCAGTGTAGTTGACTGTTGAGAGCGTCGGAGTATACAACCCTGCTCTATCTTTGAGCTCGCGGAGGCGACACGGTTCAGAGACACGACTCTCGCACACTGGCGAAACCGGTGGGCGTCAGAGGGATGCGTCCGGCCAACCAGAGCGACTGCCTCTGACGGCTGAGCTGAACCAGACGGAGGGCGCGGTCCCCAGCCGCGTGCGGTAGCCAGGCTGTCACCAGCCGGCGAAAGAAACCAGACTGCTAAAGTGCCGCCGGACGCTATGGCTGGCTGACGCCCTTGTGAAGCTTCGAAATCCGCTCCTGAATTTTAGATATGGAACAGGATCTCAGGGCAAGGCACTGATGACTATTTAATGTGATCTCTATGTAGAGCAGCCTTAGCCATTTCGTTATTCAGTTGCACAGCGTGTTTCAATCTCTTACTTTTCCTTGAATCCCCCCTCTCTCTCTATTCTCTTTAAAGTTTGTAAAAAAGAAAAACATTAATGTGTTTTTTTTTTTTACAAATTGGTGCTCGAAGTGCTTCCTTACCTATTATAACTAAGTGTTTGTAAATAAATTGTCCAATGTCTAGCATAGGCTTCTCCTGTCATATCGCGTTACCGAAGCAGCAGCACCTATAACGATCCGTGCCTTCTTCTCGCCAGGTTACCGGGGCCAGTTTTGTGAGACGCACGACGTGTGCAGTTCGGCGCCGTGTCGGTACGGCGGCACGTGCCACCCGCTGGGTGACGGCACCGGCTTCAACTGCAGCTGCGCCACCGGCTTCCGCGGCTCCGTCTGCCAGTTCAGGGTCAGTTCACACTGCAGTCAGCTGCAGTTCAGGGTCAGTTCACACAGCAGTCTGCCAGTTCAGGGTCAGTTCACACAGCAGTCTGCCAGTTCAGGGTCAGTTCACACAGCAGTCTGCCAGTTCAGGGTCAGTTCACAGAGCACAGTCGGGCTGTTCAGGGCCAGTTCACATAGCAGTCTGCCAGTTCAGGGTCAGTTCACACAGCAGTCTGCCAGTTCAGGGTCAGTTCACATAGCAGTCTGCCAGTTCAGGGTCAGTTCACAGAGCACAGTCGGGCTGTTCAGGGCCAGTTCTCTGAGCAAAGTATGTCAGTATAGGATCAACTCACTGGGAGATATTGATCAGTTCAGGGACAGTTCATTAAGTGGACACTGCACAGTTCGCCAGTGCAGAGTGCATTCACTTTGCGACACTTTTCATTTCAGATTTACTGTCATTGGCAACATCATAACTTTTTATCTAAACATCGAAAAATCTTCCCAAAATACCGGCTGCCCACTTTTATCAATTGTCATCTTCATTAAATATGCACAACATCCATCGCCCTAAAAATGCTCCTTCATGAAGATGACCGACAGTCCGGTCTGCATCCGCAGCTGTCGCGATCCACCTTGATGGGAGTGGCCCGCCGTCAGTCCACTCTGCTCTGATGAGTTGCCGGACTTGACATGGTGAGCGACGCGTCCATCGTCGCCGGCGACTCCGCTCGACCCGCTGACCCGTGCTCTGATGAACCGCGCCTCCTCCGTCCGTCCCAGCCCGACACCGAGCCGGCCATCAGACCCCGAGCAACCGCAGCGCGACGCGCTTCCTCCATCCGTCCCAGCCCGACACCGAGCCGGCCAGCAGACCCCGAGCAGCCGCGGCGCGACGCGCCTCCTCCGTCTGTCCCACTCCCAGCCCGACACCGAGCCGGCCATCAGACCCCGAGCAACCGCAGCGCGACGCGCCTCCTCCGTCCGTCCCAGCCCGACACCGAGCCGGCCATCAGACCCCGAGCAACCGCAGAGCGACGCGCTTCCTCCATCCGTCTCAGCCCGACACCGAGCCGGCCATCAGACCCCGAGCAACCGCAGCGCGACGCGCCTCCTCCGTCCGTCCCAGCCCGACACCGAGTCGGCCATCAGACCCCGAGCAACCGCAGCGCGATGGGGAGTGAAACGAAACGCCCTCAGCCGAGCCGCCCTCGACGCGCGCTGTTGAGCCGCCCAAAGGCTCAGCGTTGAAGGCTATTTTTCTCGTAGCCATGGTTCATTTACCCCATTGTTGAGTACCGCCATACTCATATTTCTCTGGGTCGTTATTTGAACCAGCGATGGGAACTTTGTCTTCGCATGGATGCTGCTCGTTTCGAGGGCCGCCCAATTGCCTCCGCAACTCCGCCACTGAATTTCATCGCTAATTCTCTGGCAGTGGTCTGGGATCGTTTCGGACATAATCGGCCACCGTTTGCAGTTCTGTCGGACGGCGCTACTCGGTCCGGAAGAGGCACTACATTGGCTACGCTGACCGGGCGGGGGCGGGGGCGGGGGCGGCGGCGGCGGCGGCGGCGGCCGTCCGTCTCTGTCGCCGTCTCGGGCCGTCGTCGGCCGGTGGGCCGGTCCGAACGGCGCAAGGTATCTGTCACCGACGGTCGTCGCTGGCGACACTGCCGCACCGGTGCCGTCTCAGGGGGAGCGGATGGACGCGGGTCAGAGGGACGCGATCGGTGGTTTTACCAGCGCGGTGGGCGGTTTTACCAGCGTGCTGGGCGGTTTTACCAGCGCGGTAGGCGGTTCGCTCTGCGCGGGGCTGTCCGTAGGGCGAGTTGTATGTCTGCAGCAGTGGGCTGCCTGACTGTAGGAATGGTTAGCCGTCGCTAGGGTGGAGCAGTTGTCATGCAAAGTTGTCTGCAGGACGGGCCAGTTGTGTGTAGAACGGGCTAGTTGTCTTAGGGAAGGGTCGGTTCTCTCTGCAACGGCAGGCGATTAGGTACCCATGTCCTTGATACAGGCAGGTACAGTGCTGATTTGTTGGTTGCATGCACATGAGATAGGGCCCACTGCTTCCGTTATTTAACTGGAGTATGCCTTCTGTGCTGTAATAATACACATCTGCCATGGAGACGAAGGTTTGCCTCGGAACAGCGCTGTCGGTCAGGAGTTTCGCGGTAAATTCCATTTAGTGAGATTAAACTGTAAATAGGACTTACTTTTGCATTTACAACGCGTAACGAGCTCTCCTAAACGCATTTGTACTTTTGTGAGCATATTATGAAGTGGTGACTGAATTTACCTTTCACGTTTTCAAAAAAGACTCAAAAATGACTTCAGCTAATATAACTGGGAGGCAACTACACTAGCGAATCAAACCTGTCATCAAGACGGCTCTAAAAACCATCACCAGACGTAACAGAGACGAATATCGTCTCTGACCTCCGGCGGACGGCTAATGCATGTATCAGTCGAGAGCTGGACAAATGACCGGGCAATTAGCGGCACCGCGGGACATCGGCTGGCGGATTAGACCAAACGAAGACTGACCTGTGCCCGGCAAACGGCAGGTAATCGGGTTATACCCCATGGCGGTCAGCTCGGTATTACATTATGGCATTACCAACATCGTTTGGCTTATCAGAAGATAATTGCAGCGGTGATGTAGAATTCCTGGAAATATTCCACTAGCCCAGGAGAAAGGAAGTTATTCACCGATAACTAAGCACCCCCTGGGGAGTCGTTTGACAGACCGCGGCTGAATTCAGCTCCGGCGCCGGTATGCGTTTCGTTTTCGGGATAGCCAAACAGGCGGCGGTTTTTCATTTGGGAATTCTCGGCGCCGGGCAGTCGAGCATTGTGAACAACATCCGGGGCCTGTTGTTGGCCGCCGTGACTGCCGACTCTGGGACAAAGGTGGCGCACAGAGGCCATTGTGGTGCGCTGTTTTGTCTCGGTCCAGGGACCGCGGGACCATCCCGATCGGTCCAGACCGAATACTGACTGCCTCCGGCGGCACGACGCCGGCACAATTTGGGACTTTTATTGTCTTCCCGCGCATTGATTGCATCCCTTCAAAGGAAGTCCAACTTATTGAACAACTGGATCGGTATAGCCATATCAGACGACCTAATGCAGTAAAATGTTGAGAGGATGTCCACTGTTTGCACTCAAGCAAAATTGCATTTTCATGAAGAATAAAGGCATTAACTTCATGTTTCCGATTATTTTTCTTTTGTGCTTGGTCTATCTTACTCCTCTTCATCTTGTTTTCCTCTCCCTCTATTTATTGCTCTCGTCTCTCTCTCTCTCTCTCTCTCTCTCTCTCTCTCTCTCTCTCTCTCTCTCTCTCTCTCTCTCTCTCTCTCTCTCTCCACTCCAACTTCACTAACGACGTTATTGAGTGCGGCGCAAGGATGAATACCAAGTGCCAACTCACCACCAAAACCATACCATAGTAGCACGGAGCCCGTGAATGTATAACGACCTGGGCCATCCCGTGTGTCCATCTCTCCGTAAACCGTACCTACTCGCGGCCGACCGGTGGCTCTCATTAGAGTCGGGAGGGCGTGTGGGACGGGAGTGGGAGTGGGAGTGGGAGTGTGAGAGTGAGTGGACGCCGACCCGTTTCCGGGCCGGACACGGTCGACCGGTCAGTATCCTCGCAGTAGACGCGCATCGCCGAGTGCGACTGCGTGCTTATGCCGCCCCCACATAGCGAGTCCGCGGCCTATTGTCCGTGCTATTGTCAGTCTTCCTGGCAACGTGGGCGATAAATGCGCTCTTTGAGTGTAAAGCTACGGCAGATGATCAGAGAGTATGTGGCGCTCGATGCTATGTAGTATTGTAGATACTACGTCTTTCCGGTGGGGTTTGCTTGTATTTTCGGAGTAAGGTATCATAAGAGCAAGACAGCCACCTGAGGCGCCATTGGTTGGTCGCGTCTACTGATTATGTGAAGCATAGGATTAGCTATACTCGTATATAGGAATAATGCCTGCTGCATTGTGTGTTCGACTCTCAGTCACGTATTTGTGTCCTGTTTTGTGCAGGTGCTCCCCCTCTGCACAGTGCACCCGTGCTCCAACGGCGGCACGTGCTGGGACGAGGGCGCCACGTACTACTGCACGTGCCAGCACGGCTTCTCAGGAAAACACTGTGAAGGTAGGTGACCATCGGCTGATTCCACGGGCTGGGCGTGCGGTAAAAGAGGCTGAAAGGACTGAAAGGCGTTGCTAAAAGGATATGGTTGTTTGATAAGGGACTGAATGGCGAGTAGATGATATTGAGTGTCAGCGCGCCAATACTTAGACCGCATTCGTGTCATGTCAGTGCTTTGACCTAACTTCATGTAGAATAAGAACGTATAATGTTGATGCTATACCGTCTACGCCGCGCGGCAAACATGATTATATAAGCCATGCATATGGAGATAGATAGGAGCTCTCTGCTTGCGTGAGTTGTGATAGACTTGTTATTCACCCAAACTTCTGAAACGCTACATAATGTAGTATTTCCCCAACTGTTGATATTCACACGATCAAAAACTTTCGTCCCGCGTTTCGGAGTCGCTGTTTATGCAGACTAACTTGGCCGCCGCGCCTCTCCCAGCCAATTGTGAGATTTCACGCTCGAAGAATGGTGGGTCGCCGGCGGCGTCTCTTGATATATTTTCCTCTGTTGTGTGTCTCAGTGCCTCCGGGTTTGATCGGCCACTTTGACATCCACCACATGCGTTCCGGTGTGCCGATCATGGCGTCGCTCTCCATCGGACTCTTCCTCGTCATAGCTGTGGTGAGATGAACACACGGGCAGAAGGGGAGGAGATAGGGCGGGAGGAACGGGAAGAGGGATAGGCAGATGGGGAGGGAAGGGAGAGGAGAGCGAGGGTGAGAAAAATAGGATAGGGAGAGACAAGATATGGAGGGAGGATTTAGAACTGAGAAAGGAACGGAAGGAGAGGGAAGAGTATGGGCAGGGGAGATTTTAGAGTATGGAAGGAGGAACTTGCTATCAGTTAGTCACCTCCACCTGGCTAACTTTGATCAGCGCGTGCGACATTTCACCTGGCTCAGCTGTTAACTATGTCGCTAACTTTTGTTGACATCTCAGCGAACTTGATCAATGAATCAAGCCCCTGCCGCCCCACACTAACACGATATTCGTGGCTCGGATTGCGAGCCGTAATTTACACCAGCTTTACTCCGATTTGGTAATCAACCTTACCCCTGCATGATTAAATCGGTAATGGATTACACCTTGCATATGGCAATGCACCGGCCACTGTTAGTGTTAAATGTTCTAGCCTAGCTATGATCCGGCTGAGATGTGACCTGTGACCTGTGACCTGTGACCGACTGAGCTGTGGCCGGTGACCTGTGACCTGTGACCTGTGACCTGTGACTTGTGACCTGTGACCTGTGACCTGTGACCTGCGACCTTTGACCTGCGACCTTTGACCTCTGACCGGTGACCTGTGGCCTCAGGTCGGCTGCTGCTACTGCCGCTCGGTGGGCGGCCGACAGTCACTGAGTCGCCTCTGCCGACCCGTGAGCAAGTGCCGCTCGGCAGCCCGCTGCTGTCCCCGCCGAACGTACAAACAGTTCAGGTGAGCCGCTCAAACGTGGTGACAGAGCCGCTCAAACGTGGTGACAAAGACGCTCAAACGTGGTGACAGAGCCGCTCAAACGTGGTGACAAAGGCGCTTAAACATGACGAGAGGGTAAGTTGAATCATAATAGTGTTTGGAGCTGCTGATACTGGCCGAGAATCATGCAGTAAGGCATTAAGAAGAACATAGAAGCGAGTTCTCAATCGTGGCGAATGGTAATGCAGGAACACAATGTAGTTGTTCGAGCTGAACATGAAGGTGCCAGAACACAATAAGGTGAGCCGCGAAAGAGCTGACATTTGGTGAAGTGAAACACGTAGGGGAGACCCGGGAGGTATGGGCCGGTTTTGTGAAAAGGCAATTTTCTTCCGGTGGGCAGTGGCTAGACCCGGTTTTTCACTCTGTGTACGTGACATTGCCTTTCGCTTGCAACGTGTGCCTGATATTAGGCATCGGGGATCAACTATTTTGTCTCGAAATAACTTTCAATACATCATGTGCTTTTTCGATCCATCAAAATACACCGGGAGGTATGGGCCATGGCTCGGGAGGTATGGGCCGGCGCCATGTTTCATATTCTTTTCTCGATAATGAGAACAATACTCGTTGCTGTTATCTACCTTGATCTCTCTTAGAGCCCAGGGACCGCATAAGCGGCCAACAGCTTACTTCATGAAGGTCACTTGGGCACATATGTATTTTGGTTAACTCAATCATGCACCATGAAATAAGATCAATAATATTTTTTCTGTTCGAATGAAATTTGAAACTAAATTTTCGACCTTGCGCGACAAAACTAAAACCTATTGACTGGGACATTCAATGAAAGCATGTTTTTATTTATTTAGGATCAACGGGGTGGGTGGCCCGAACCTCCCGGTTAGGACGCCAGAATGTGCGTAGCATCTCAGCTCATAATCTTGCTAGAAAGCTTCAAATTGTCTATCCAGTCATAATTTCCATACTTTAAACTTTATGTTAGCGATGGTCTGACATCATAAAACGAGCCTGGTTCAAATTTATCATGAATTTTCTGTATGTACCGTATTTAACTCGAAGAGGGCAAAAACGGTTTATCACCGCTCATTGCCAAAGAAGATTGAGGAAGATTTTGAAAATCACGTGGGTTGTATAATGGAATGGCTGCTACCAGTTAACGCCGTCAAATGTGTAAAAACACGCAACACTTCTTCAAAACTGCGATGGCCCATACCTCCAGGGGGCCCATACCTCCCGGGTCTCCCCTATGATTCTCTGACTGGGTTAGATACTTCGTTGGAACTGCAATTTCATGCGGAGCACCTCAGTCTGTTCCCGTCATTAAGTTGAAGTTCCGTGTGAGTTTAGTGGGTAGTAAACGGGAAATGTGAAGACGTCGGCCGGGTTGTATAATAGCGGGATGTTTCGGGGTGCCTGAACGACGGTGACAATATTGCGGTGTGTTGTCGTGCATTTGTAATGCAAGAGGTGACCCACTGTACGGAAGCTAAAACGTTCTGGGGACGGTGGTGCGCCGTAGTAGCTTCAATGGACTACGTGGTTTCTTTAAGAGTTAATGAGCTATGAACTGTTGAATGTTTAACCCTCGCCGGACCTATTGGTTTTCTACATACGCGCCGGCGGAGGGGGGGGGGGCGGGTACGACCCCCCTCGCCGTTTCGCCCCTGGTGGAGCTAGCGCGTCGCGGAAAAAACGAGCGTGTGCGCCGTTACGAGACGCAGAGATTGGTATCCGATTTTAAGGTCCTAGGTCAACCGGTGACCTTTGAGGTCAGGTCAAGTGCCCCAAGGTACGGTTCAGTTTTTGGTGAATAACTTCGCAAAAAAACGGCCGCAGAGCCGCGATTTTGGCAGCAACGTGTTCGCCTCACTCAGGCGCGTCGAATGATATACTTTTTGTTCGGGTCAGGTCAACTTAGGGTGTTGACCTCAGGTCAAGGTCAGGTCAGCATCCCCAGGTCACGAAGTTGGTCAAAAGAGGTCATGTCGCATATCATTCGATTCGGCAGGTCTTCCTGAGTCCATTGGTGGCTTTCCCGACTCGCTAGCTCAATTTGATCGGGAGTTATTGACGAAAAACTAATATGACCTTGATGACGTCATAAATGACGTCACGCAAGGTCAACATTGCAAAAGTGACGCATCTAAACTTGCAAGGAGTGCATCAAATCACGATTCTGTGTGCTTGAGATAGTTGGAGATCGTTCCCGGCGCCAGAATAGCAGTTTTCATTTTTCCCCATTGACTTATAATGGTGAGGTCACGAAAATGACCTGACCTCATATGACCTTTAGGAAAAATCCGAGATATACAAGTTGTGAGACTTGTAATGGATACTAGCTCCTGCCAGTTTCATTTCCCTGTGACATCTCCTCTGGCAGTGAGGGCGTTGCGAAGTTGCGACATCTGAAGACCGTGCAGAGGTTTACTTATGACGTCACAGGTCAGTGACCTGACCTGACCCAAAAATGCGGTTGGTGTCAGAAGATGCGGCTTGAATCAAAGGTCAGGTATGCCAAGTTTCAGCTCTCTATCGCCAGCGTGTTCGGAGTTATCGCGAAAAAACCCTATGGGGGGGGGGGGCGGCACCCGCCCCCCCCCCCCTCGTCCGGCGAGGGTTAAAGCCCAAATCGGTAAATGTTGACCTTGATAACTTCTGGTGCCCAGTCCTTTGACCTGACCTAAAACAAAATTAAATGCTTCCACCACGATCTTTAAAAAGACATTTTGAACGGCACTTACCACTCGTCGTTGAGTGAACTAAGAGCGAGTTCATGCGTGGTCATCTACGCCCGCTTCTGTTGTTTTTGTGGTATTTCGCTCGTACCGTGTGAGTTTATACTTTATAATGCTGTCCTAATGCTGTCATCTACTTGCTTCCTTGTACATACTGAAACAGGTTCACGGAAAAGGGCGTTTATTTAGTCGGCATTTTCAAGTTGGCATTGATGCTGCGAATGTATATGCATAGCTTCGCAACCCCCAATTTCGGTACATTTAGCGTCTAATCGGTACAATATTCTCTTAATTCATGACACTCCTAGACAGTGCGCTGTTAGATCGTCAACTATTTTATACATGCGCCACATAGAAGACATTCTTGGCGGCTATGTTATTAGTACAAGACGGACTGCAGTAAGGCATTTGACATTGGTTGGTTATTTAAGAGGATTTGACCATGGATCAATAAACGTCATAATTAATCCTCTCCTTCCGACATGACGGCAACTATGTCGCTAGACCGTGGTACAAAGCGACAAGATAGCAAGGAGACACCGAACTATCACCGAGCCCGTTTGAATCAATTGTGTTGTTTAATTGTGTTTAGTTTTGTATTATTTCTTTATTTCACCGTAAATATTCATTTTATTGTCACACAATGTGGACAAATAAGTATGCACCGTGATGCGAAGAAGAATGTGTTTCATAGACGACTGGATAAGAATGAGGTATAATTATTAGTAGAAAAGGTGAACAGAAGTATGAGGCAGGAAGGTACAGCTATTGACATTGAAGGCGAAGTATTACGTATACTACGGCCCATTTCACAGAAGGGCTAAGATGCGACTGACGCAGTTTTTCATCTAATCTGCTGCAGTTTACGCCCGAACGTTTCATAAAGGGATTGCGGAGTAGAACCATAATAGCCATTTTCACGACGGCCATGTACTTACACATTTGGTGCACATCTGGTACAGATTAGGTGCAGATTTGGTCAAATCAGGTTCAGTGTGCCTCTTAGCAGCTATCAGCTAGGGTTGCACTAAGTGCTTATATGCCTCCTTTGTCATATTATCAGAGAGCATCATCGATTAAAACACCGAAATAAATTCATAAAATGAAGATATTTGCTGTAAAAGAAATTAGGTGCAGATTTGGTCAAATCTGCATTCGCCGGATAGCCCGTTGTGAAAACGGCTAATATGTTATTGACTATGATTTATGTAGTGAATATAGTAGAATATAATTCAAAACAAACAGAAGTTTACAACTGGCGCATATTACGCACATTACGCCCTCGGATCCTAATAAAACCGCCTAGCTCTAAAGAGGGTGTGTACTACCAGGTTTATGAACTCGGCCGGAAGTTGGAGTTGGAGTGGGCTGGCTGATATATTTGGAGATGCACATGGGATGTGCTAGTGGTAGAAATAGTGCTATTAGCTTGGGAAGTGCAGAATAGGTACATTAGTCAGAAATGCAATGAAACAAGCCTTATACGAGCGCTGAATGTTGTGCATTTCATGGCATTTGTGAGGGATGCATATGATTCAACAGTCAATCTTCGAATATCGTCTGCACTGTTTGTATATATATTCTATGTCCGTATAGTATATATAGTATATATGTTTGTATATATAGTATATATTTTTTTATATATCACTATAGCACTGTTCTGAGAATGGGCTGAAGTTGTGCTCGCGGTGAGTGAAATGAGCCTTCTGCGAATCAGTTTTACCGGGAAACAGTGCTGGAGATGTCGACCGTTTCCGAAAATTGCGACTGAAGTTGGTCGACTAATGAAATTTATTCAAATTGTTTGCAGCGCGATATTGTGCCGGCTGGAATGAGACGAGCCGACATCTCTCTGGCGGGGCGCCCATTTTGCCGGCTGGTAAACAGTCGTCTGAAAATCGCCGGGCTCGGAACTGCAGAAAACAGCCACTCGGTCTTTACACTTGACGGCCAATTCCGATGATCCCCTTGACTCGTGGCTATGCTCACTGAGAGGTGTTATGCCAGGGTGACTTGCATCGCATGATACAGCCGAACCGTGGTATACGTAGGGTGAATGAAAAGTTTTGAGCCTAACATAGTTACAGGTGACGCAGATTAATGAAACTTTGGTCACACATTTTGCCACTATTGATATGAATGGACACAAAATTGTGAAGTCCTAGCACTTTTTTCCTCACTTTTATAGCGCCTTGAATCATGCTATTTTGGGTAAGTGCTCGCGGTGTCAATGACGTCATTTTTTGTGAAGCGTCATCCAGT